AAACAAAAACAAATGCTTGCTGTAGTATTTGGAGTTTACAATCTTCATTACTATGTCAATGGGCTCCAGATCATAGTAGAGACCGGTCTCACGCCTCTGGAAGGGATTATATCACAGTAGAGACAGGACCGAAGCCTCTGGAAGGGATTATATCACAGTAGAGACAGGTCTCAAGCCTCTGGAAGGGATTATGTCACAGTAGAGTTTGGTCTCAAGCCTCTGGAAGGGATTATATCACAGTAGAGACAGGTCTCAAGCCTCCGGAAGTGATCATGTCAGAGTAGAGACAGATAACAAATAGGTGGAAGTGATCATCAACAACCATTTGTCATCTGCACCTGAAAGATTTCAGAGAACTCTTCAACGATTCATGAAATAAGAAATCTTTCTCGAATACAAGCCTGGCAAAGAAATTTGTATTCAAGACACCCTCTGTCCAGCATCCTTAACAAGACATTATCCATTAAGTGAAGACTGGACCGGTGAACAGAGCCAGGAGAGTCCACTCAATGCGGAGGGTAGTAGGCCCTACTGTTTTGAATAATGAGTAGTTCAAGTTAACAGTTAAAGAAAGTCTGGACAGAAAATATTTTAAAACAAAATACACATAAAAAAACATACATTGTAAAGTTTATTCTCTATTTAATTGAAATCATTTGGCATCATAGAGTGTCTTAGTCAGGTATACTTTCTTTGGATTGATAGAGTGCCTTAATATCCTTCTGCACATACTTTCTTTGGATTCACAGAGTGCCTTAGTATCCTTCTGTACATACTTTCTATGGATCATAGAGTGCCTTAGTATCCTTCTGCACATACTTTCTTTGGATTCACAGAGTGCCTTAGTATCCTTCTGAACATACTTTCTTTGGATTCACAGAGTGCCTTAGTAAGGCATACTTTCTTTGGATTGATAGATTGCCTTAGTAAGGTATACTTTCTTTGGATTCACAGAGTGCCTTAGTAAGGTATACTTTCTTTGGATTCACAGAGTGCCTTAGTAAGGCATACTTTCTTTGGATTCACAGAGTGCCTTAGTATTCTTCTGCACATACTTTCTTTGGATTGATAGAGCCCCTTAGTAAGGTATACTTTCTTTGGATTCACAGAGTGCCTTAGTAAGGTATACTTTCTTTGGATTCACAGAGTGCCTTAGTATCCATCTGTACATGCTTTCTTTGCATCACTGCGTTATTTAAAGCTCAGTTCACATGACGCAATAATTTCAAAAATTAATTTGATCGTTAGAACTTAGCACACTGAATGTCAAGAATTATTAGTAATGTTTAGTGCGTTTAAACTGGTCTTCGAAATTTGTTGAGGTTTTTTTCAAATGTTTTTCTTATCAATTTTTAAAATGATGGTTTCAATGAAACTAATTAGAAGTACAATAATAATAATTGTCTCATCAAGTGAACACATGGCCGTGCCGAAGTCTGAAAAGGCGCCAATCAGCAAATTGAGGAAAGTGCCCTTTGTGGCGGACAAGTAACATATAGATTTTGTCGCCCTTTGTCTTTGTGTAGTACATACGAACTTATGTCGTCTAATTCCATATTAAGGTACTATCTATAAACAATTTTGGCGCATCCCTAATGTTGGTGCCCAGTATGATTTACCTCATTCGGTGTCACATTTGGTGTCAGATTTGGTGTCAGATTTGTCACCACGTTTGGTGTCAGATTTGTTACCACGTTTGGTGTCTGATTTGGTGTCACATTGGGTACCTATTTTGGTGTCAGATTTGTCACCTCATTTGAAGTCTGATTTGGTGTCACATTGGGTACCTATTTTGGTGTCAGATTTGTCACCTTATTTGGTGTCGGTTTTGACGACTTATTTTTGTTGTCACATGATCGCGGCATGTGATTCGGCCGTCCACAGTCCTTGATCCGACACTGACCCCGCTGACAGAGCAAATTTCCAGTGCTTCATCTTTGTGGCACTGCCATGAGGGAAAAACTCAACAAAGCACATTTTTCTCCCGAACATAACATCCTTTTTAAAAGACTAGCTTTCTACTCGTAAATCCATTGGGGTTGTTGGTAGCATAATTTTGTTTGCTGGCACACTTGACTCTTTCGTTAAGTTTTAAATGCACCAAAAATGTAGAAAAAAAATAACATTAAGATAAAGAATTTTCATTTTGTCAATGGAACGTGGTAAGATAAAGAAAACTAATTATAAAAAGTGTAGGACTGCAATAAAGCTTTAAAATATATTAATAAGACACGAACAAATTGTGTCAATAGAACAATATGAGTTAGCTTTAATAATAATTGTACATTATACAGAATTAAACGTTTCGGCACATGCCTTCATCAGTACAAACAAACACAACACATTTAAATAAGTATAAATTAAATTTACATAATGT